GTACAGGTGTTTGTTGCGCATGAAATACTCACTCATTCATAACAAATTTGGTCGATTTGTCGCGTTTATGACAAATCGATAATTGTCTAATGACGCTCAACATATATAACCTCAAACGTGATAAATGGAATAACGGAAATGGACAATTCTGAAGGAAACTCCTTCCATTGAGTTGACATCTCGTTTCGATTATTGTTATCATGTTACGTCATTTTATGGAGGTTACGGCAGCCGGCAAAATAACACATCTTATATTGAGCACAAGACAAATAACGCGTTAACAGTCGTGTACGCGATCTTATTTATAATACCTTGCTTAATAGCGCGCGACGTAATATTCTTCTCTAGAGCGTTTATCGTTAGATAACATCAGACTCGCGATTGAGAGAGTCAAGATCAAGTTTAGCATCATCAAAAGTTTGACCTTCTACGTGCCGTGAATGCGAAGAACACTTACCGGTACCCATCGCGTGCGCTAAAATGGGATATTCCGAATCTTAGAACGAAATTTACGGTTATGGTGCGTGAAATATGAAATGCACGCACGTACGTGTGTGTAACGTGAAGTATGCTGAGCGTTACGATCGATCGACTGGTTGTCGATGTTGATAATCGATTGGCTAAGTCGATTTTGATATCTCGAGATGTCTAAAATAAATGTGCACAATGTAATAATAATATAATATATATACAAAGCATCTAACTTATGTTATAATTAACTAATTAAAGTTTTGCGTGATTTATTTCGTCGAAATGAAATATCTATAATCGCGATGTCGAAAGTCCAATCTCGATTATTAAGGGACGAGATGCTTTCATAGCTTGTAGTATGTAACTTGTAAACGATCGAACTGGCGATTCTTTTATTCCAAAGTATTCTGTATAATAAGAGTGTAGATTTAGTATAGATTTTACGTTTATATAACGAAATGCACTTTTTATATTTTTTCGTGATTTCTTAAAATTCTTATGAACTATGTTAACAAATAAAATTCAGAAAAATATCTAAAGGACGTCTAAAACGTCTTTTTAAGATATTTTTTAAAAGCTTGTTTCGTCTAGGAAATAATAACGTCATTTATGATATAAACATTTCATAAAGTATTCAAACATTGAATACTTTATAAGTATTCGGACATTGCAATTAACAACTTAATGTAATGTCACATCCAATACTTCTCTTCTCTTCAGGTACTGTAAATTGGAAGCTCATTGTGCCGTAATAATTCTTATAATTATACTGTTACGTATTACAATAAGTCATATCAAGTTATTATATATGCGTTATTGAGCGTGTCTTCTATTCTTCTATTTCCATAAAATTATATAATGATATATCAGTAAATGTAAATGGACGCGTATTATTTTGTTTTTTTCTCTTTTTATGGAAATCTACGTTATCCTATACGTATACAATAAGTACCTATACAATAAGTTGATTCCGTTATCCTATACTTATATAATAAGTTGATTACGTATAACTGTTTCAAAGTTCTCTACTTTGATTAAGCGTCAATTTTGATGCAACTTTCAATTTCTTTTCCGTTTAATCGAAATTATAACGGAAGATATTGACATCAGAATACTTTTCGCCATATCTCCAATTAGCGGTGGAGAAGTAGGGATATTTCTTCGCAATAATTAAAGAGAGTTGCAACATACTATTGTATATCGCTCGGAAAAACGAGGACCACCAAGCACTAGGTCGCATCAGGTACTTTAGCACGAAACATTGCAGATTGAATAGGTACCAGTTGTAAAACGACATGCCCGAAGTATCTGCAAGTAATATATCGTTGTTATTTATTACGTAAAAATCAAACAAAAAATATAGTATTTTCCATAAATACTTATTGTTATTTCCTACAGGGCATCGAAAGCTTTTATTTTCCGATCACATAAATCGGATTAAAAAATATACTAAACGATTAAAAAATGCTTTGGAGAATGACTTTTTTATGTTTCCTACTTTATTAATCTTCCGTAAGCTCAATGAAACATCTGTGGGTTTATATAAAAATGCGAGAGAAATTACCTATTCTGATGGAGTGATTATTATTGGACGCAGATATAGATGCCAAGTAATATGTGAACATGATGAACGCTTGTGGTTGGATGGCAAAACTCATGGCCGACAAGCTTTCCAGCATCGCCTGACTCATCGAGTCAAAGTGTTCATTTTTATTTGTCAAAGCTGGTATGAACACCTTATCCAATATATTTTGGCAAAGACCACGTGCTTCCTCAACTGTTCCCGAGCAAAGATTGAATCTGAAAGAACGTATATTTATAAGTCATGCAAACTCATGAATTATGAGCGTTGTATCATCACGGTAGTAATGAATCAAAACGTCTACTCTCCCAATATTGCCAGAATCTTAAGATCGCTCTGCAAATTCAGGAAAATTGCAAATATTATTTTCGATATTATAATATTGATAACTCATATAAATATTCATATTTGTTGTATAATCCGTGTATCAACTTACGTATCGCAATTTTATTCAGAATAATTGGTAAAATATTTAGGAATGAGAAAGCAAGATTTTGTTTGATCGTCGTGCAATGAAATACAAAGAAGGGCAGCAAAGACTACAAACTTTTCCTCCATCCCGAGCATGCTCCCGATGATCCTCCAGACATGGACCAAGCCTTCCATTTCCTCGTGAGTGACCTTGATACCTAGATTCTCAGTGCCGATTAAGATATATCCAATAAATCCGAACTGAGTAAGACACATGTCCAACTGCGTTGGCCGCTGTAAACCAGCCTCGGTGCTTTTTTTGAATGCGACACAATGCTTCTTTCGTACGATCTTCAAAGATTTTAGAAATCTACAATAAAAGATAAAGATAAATTTGCATTATACCGCAATTCGTTTGCATATATATTCAATAAAATATACAAATATTATTGCTTTGTAATTTAATAAAAATTAATTAACAGATTCTACGTATTCGCAGAGTTCTATACTCTTTTGTAATTAAATTTCTGTACACGTTCTGAAGTGTGTCAACAAAGTTGTGAAATTCAATATTAATCGATTTACGAAAATCAACGAAAATCAATCATAATAGACAAGTTTAATGCTCCCATGATTACGTATAATTGCGAGTGCGAGCGTAGCACGGAGTCTACCGCGCTTAGAGAGGCCTGGGTTCGATTCCCAAAGGAAAAATTTTCGGACGCTCGCACACCTCCCCTCGGTGGACGTGGAAAACCACCGAGGATATAGGATAAGAAATATAAGGATAAGAAATGCAAAAAGGAAAGGAATTTGCTAATATAGATGTTAAGATACATATAGGATAAAGAAAGATATATAAGGAATAAAAGGAGGGAAAAGGAAAGGAACAGGATAAAGATCCTAGGTTGCGTTCCAAAACGTCCTTTTTGAGGAAATTTTACTCGATATTCTATAGTATATCTAACGTAAAATATAGGTATTGAGTAAAATTTTCTTCAAAAAGAACGTTTTGGAATGCAACCCTAATAGGTTAAGATGCGAGGAAAAGAAAAATGTAAAAGATAAAAAGCGCATAGATATAAGGAAAGATTGTACACGCACCGGCGTTAATGACGCGTCACTCACACATTGCTGCCTACGCTGCCTATGATGAGTGGACAGAAATGCCGTCCTAAAATAGTGTGACGCCACACTAAGAAAACGCTCGACTCACACTGTCGCGTCTGTACGTGAGCAATACGCGGTGCCCGACGACTGTTTCGCTCGCTCGAACATGCATTTTTTTCTTGTTAGCAAGGAAATTATTGTAATGTAAAAGGAGATCTTGGGGAAAGGTTTTCAAGAGGCTTCGACAAGTGCTTCTTAATAGCTACTCTTGAAAAAAAGATATTAGATTTATTTCAATATAGAATACTGAATCAATATAGAATACTGCAACAATACAGCGCTTGTATAGGTTGTCGAAGTAAAATATTTTTAATTTTAGTGTTGCATAAACACGCGAGATATAATTATTTCATATTTTATGCGTTCAAGTACCGTTTCATCGTTATAAAATTTGATAGCTCTAAAAAGAGCCGATTTTTACACCTATTTCAAATAATTATTATTCCTTATTACTATGGATACAGAAATGCGGAATACTATGGATATCGTTTCTACTGTCATCATCACAAATTAACGTTTAGAAATGTTGACTTCATGTGCATTGTTTGAACATTTTTTAATAATATTGCATTTATATTTTTCACATGTTATTTTGTAATATGATTTTTCTGAACGTTTAAACGTTTTAAAAACATTACAAAAAAATATTTTTCAAATGTTTTTTTAACATTTATTTGAGATCAATGCAACATCTTAAAAATATTTCTGATAATTAAAAGCTACCTGCTCTTTTTTGTTCGTTGTTTGGGAAGAACCATGGCTTCGACTAGACTTTCTCGCGAACATGATTGATTCGATACCTAATCGATTCAATCAAGTTATCGACCGTGCCGGATATTGGACTGACTACTGACTATCGACCTTAGTTTCTTCGGCACAAAAATCGGCTCTTTTCGGGGCCACCAAATTTTATAACGATGGAATGATACTCGAACGCATAAAATATGAAATAATTATATCTCACGTGTTTATGCAACATTAAAATTAAAAATACTCTATTTCGACAACCTATACAAGCGCTGTGTTGTTGAAGTATTCTATATTGATTCAGTATTCTATATTGAAATAAATCTAATATTTTTTTTTTCAAGAGCAGCTATTAAGAAGCACTTGTCGAAGCCTCTTGAAAACCCTTCCCCAAGATCTCTTTTTACATTACAGTAACTTACTTGCTAACAAGAAAAAATACATGGACGTTCGAGCGAGCGAAACAGTCATCGGGACATCGCATATTGCTCACGTATAAACGCGACAGTGTAAATCGAGCGTTTTCTTAGTGTGCGTCACGTATTTTAGGACGGCATTTCTATCGTCTTCTATCGATTTTCTATCGATTTTTTTTCGAATTTTCGGAGAACGGATGACGCTACGAGTCTCATACTATAAAACTATAATTCTTAAGCCTAGCACAACTCAGAACAAAAAGATCTCGGTTGGAACAAGAAGGAAAGCATGTGTTTACTCTTGACGTCGAGTACTGTCAAATCGATTTTTTTACGAATTTTCGGAGAACGAATGATCTTATGAGTCTCATACTCTAGAACTATAATTCTTAAGCCTAGAACAACTCAGAACAAAAAGATCTCGGTTGGAACAAGAAAGATAGTATAAGTTTACTCTTGGTCCGATAGACTGTTTGTCAAAAAACTTTTTTTTAATTTTTCGGGCTTATAATTAAACTTATTGATTTGTGCTTTTGGAACAATGTTTGGAACAACTAGAACAATCTATTGCGGTATCAGAATGTTCGATTTTCGAAAAGTGGGGTGCCAGCTTAAAAAATCATTTTTTTTGTTTTATTCGAAAACCGTTTCGAATGAAGCAATATCACTTTGGAACAATGTGGTACAAAGTCAGAACAATCTGGAACAACTTTCAAAATTATAAATTTCAAAAAGTGGGGTGCCAACTTCATACATATTCCCCTTTCTGACTCATTTAAAGATGCAATGATTAGTTCAACTAATAATTAATTAAATTAGCTAATTCAACCAGTGAATAATTTATTATTACTTCATTTCGTTATTAATTTATTCGTTCCATTATTATCTTATTTCGAGGATATTGCCGACGATATGACTGTTGGAAATTGTACCGCATGTCGTTGTTTAACATTTTACTCCTTGGACATACATACTTACTCCTTGGACTTCTCAGGATCCTCTTCGAGCCAAACGAGTACATGAAAAATCGTCATCGCGTACCTGCGATAAGCCAAGCAAGGAATATGGCTTTGTTTAGTGTACATTATCACGTCCAATATGCTCTTAATAGAATAAAGGGACACCAAACCGGACAGTTTCCCGATCATCATCGAAAAAAAATTGTTGCAAAAGGCCTGTTGACCCATCTGATATTTTTTCTTGTCATAATATGGCGGCAATTCTGGTTTCGCCCAGTCAAAGTCAACCGGAACTCTCGCACCTTCCTCAAGGATCATGCGAAAACGTTTCTCCGCTACATCTGGAAATTCATTAAATTCGAAATAATAATGAAATTTCAGCGAGATCATGGTAACAATTCGAATTTATATATATCTCGATCCCAAACAGCAACAATCCACTAAAAAATGTCTTAAAAATCAAAAGACGCATTTTAAACGTCTTTTCGACATCGTTAAGACACCTTTCAATTTAAGCGACAGCTTATAATGCTGTGTTTTTCTTGAATTTTATTTACTGTGTTTTTCTAATTAAAATTGATCTAAAATTCCACAGGATTACATCGTGCGTCGAATTTTTACATCATTTTGCCACGAAGGAAACGAGAAATCGCGTATCTTGACTTTTGAAGTTTCGAAGTTGGCTCATATCCCACTTACTTTGTATTCACACAATGAATGCATTCAGCGAATACAACGGTCGCACAACAATTGAATAATTCGCCAACGTAATTGGTCTAAATTTAGGGATCTAACAGTGAAGACCAATAATCATTGATTGTTCACTGACAATTTTGTTCCGCTGAACGCTGCCAACGGTATCCATTATGTAGAATAATTGGAAAGTTTCCGCGTCGCACTTGGCCGGAATAAAGGACACGCATAACAATGTAACGTGGATAATCGTACAGGTCGATCGGACGTGTACTACGTACCATATGTAAGAACGTCAAAACCAACGTTAACATCTGTATGTACATCGTACGTGAGAAAAATTCGGGAAACAGAAGTTCGGAAGTGATGACGATCTCACCCGATACACGTGCTAATTATGCATGACTAAACACGATCGAGAATAGTACGCTGCATTCACGGGTGGGGATTAAAGAGGGTAGAAGAAGAAAGGAAGGAGAATTGGAATATAGAAGGAGAGATTATGAAAAGGGAAAGAGAAATACAAAAACAATGAATGGAAAATAGGATATTGGAGGCTAGATATAACAAGAGATATAAAGAGATAAGAAAGATAGAGGAAGGAGTTACATGAAAAAGAGCAGTTTGGTTAAGATGAAGTCAGGAGAGGAAGTAAGAGCGCTTGTTAAGCTAAAATGTGGTAATATGGAGTTAAAGAATAAATATTGGTTAGAAGAGGAAGATAAGATATGTGTATTATGCGGCAAGGATGATATGAGGCATTATATGTATATTTGTGAGGTGGAAAGGAGATGGTTGGAGGAAATGGATAGGACGGGAGAAAGAGGAAAGGAAAGGATATGGAATGATGAATTAGATGAAATTAAAGGAGAGGTTTTAAGGGGAATCTGGAAAGAAAGGGAGAAGAAAATATAACAGAAAAAGGATAGATTAAAAAGAAAAGAAATATATTTGTATGTAAATGGTTTATATATGGTATAAATAAATAGTAAATTATAAGAATGCGATAAAGGGTAGGAATATTAAAATGTATGCATAAATAATAGAGAAAGTAGGAAATAAATTAAATCTAAAAGTAAAGAGTGGCGATAGTTTATTTCAATGGAAAGGAGGTATTATAGGAAAATAATAATGTTAATGGCTGTGATAAGGCGGTGAGAGAATAGGTTAGAGGTAGGCGCGATAAGCGAAGGAGAATAGAGATAAGATTTATAGAAAAAAGTATGGATGAATGGATGGATGAATGGATAAGTACAAAAAAAAATACTTAATGTAAACCAAGTCCCCTTCTTGGCTATTGTAGCTGAACGATAATAATAAGCTAACTAACTAGTACGCTGCATTCACACGTAATAAATTCACAATGTCGATCGCATCTTGCATGTTATAATACAATTACCAATATCTAACCATTCATATCATTTCAATATCATTACCAATTATTTATTATCAATATTTAAAATATGAATTATGCGTTCACAAATTATCGTTTACACAAAAGTATTATATCATGTTTTCTCTTTTCAATTTTTATTGGCATATGTATTCAAGCTTCGTCGAGTCCGCAACTTTTGCAGGAGTTAATATTTTGATGAATAAACATAAATTCTACGAATTTAAGATTCGGAATCAATTATGTATCCGTTATATCACAGATATATTAGCAAATATTTAGCGATAGAACTACTTTTGTAGCACACGTGCACATATAGAAATCGCGCAACTTTCGGCATAAAACTCTACTCAAGTAAAAGTTTGAGTGAAAGTTTATATTGAATTAATTGGGATCACAAGTCGATATTTGCAACATATTTATTATAAAAATTGGGAGTCGACGAAAGAAGTGAGAATGATTTTGTTTGGAAGAGTGCAAGTATATTTTCATAATATAATAAAATGCCTTGTAGAATTAATTAGATATTTCATCATTCAATCAGAGATATGATTTCAATTATATAATTTCAATATAATTGAATTATGAGATTTTAAAATATATTAAAAAAATAGAACTTGCAAAATCGATTAAACGCTCTAAACGCTCACTGAACTTCTAAAATACTCCGACTATTTTTCTTTTGCCCTAACAATCAATAAATAATCGTGAAATTAACATAACATGCAATCTTCCTTTTTTATCTTACATTTCCTCATTTTGCCATATGACTATAATATATAACTATAATCTAGGTTACGCTATTGTATATACGTGAGAATGATTTCCATATTAGTACATGATGAAATCGAGATTAGAATAAACTATGATTTTCCATATATGAAATATAAAAAAAAAATATATATACAATATATTAGTTTCAATTTCAGGCCGAATTAGCAAAAGACTGTATATTTTAACTGAAAGTCGGTAAGACTACCGAACTCACAAGGTAGTAGTTATGGCATTTTTGCGTTGTTGCAAGCAATGCAGACGAAAGTAAGTCAAGGTCACTCTACTCTAACTATATTTTCTCTATTAAGCACCGTGTAATCTTTGTGTTAACGTTTACGAAGATAAAAGGGAAATATTTCTTAACTCGTTCATTAATCATATATTAATATATATATTAATATATATATTAATATATATATTAATATATATATTAATATATATATATATATTAATATATTTATTAATCATATATTTATCATATACAAACTGATAAATAAGTAGGTAAGCGGACAAAATCCATAAAAAAGAGGGGACAGCGTTGACAACGTTCAAAAATTCCAGATCCATAATTTCATTTCTCAAGGTTAATATCATTGTCGGACAAGTGAATGTACAGAAGTGTAGAATTGTAACAGGTTATATGGCCGGTATTCATAATCGAGTATTATATTTAAGACAGTCTTAAGTTTATCTTCAGATACACCATAGCCAATGAAATAATTTGTGCATCATCTGAAAATAAACTTAAGACGATCTTAAATATAAGATCTGATTATGAATACCGGCCTATGTCACGGTGTCAAAAGTAACATCACGGGAGTGAATGACAAGTTATGGAGACAGAGGTTAACACCATTTTGTTATGGAGACAGAGGTTAATACCATTTTGTGAATCGGCAGTTCCTCGTGCTATTTTGTGGAAGAAGAAGAAGAAGAAAGTTAGTACCAAATGTCAAAAGCCGTAAATTTCAGATAACGTTTGCATTGAGTTCATGAGCGTAAAAATAAACAGTGCGACTACCTTTATCATAGGTCGTATTATATAAAAAAATAACGTTATCTGAAATTTACGGTTTTTGACATTTAGTATTAACTTTCTTCTTTTTCTTCTTCCACAGAAATAGCACAAGGAACTACCGATTCAAAATTTGGTGTTAACCTCTGTCTCCATAACTTGTCATTCACTGCCGTGACGTTTAGTTTTGACACCATGACATATAATCTGTCACAACTCTACATTTCTGTACACTCTCCCTGTAAATTCATTTCTCAATTAAGCTTGAGAAATAAATTTATGGATCCTAGGAATTTTTGAATATTGCCAACGCTGTCCCCTCTTTTTTTATGGATTTTGTTCGCTTACCAATAAGTAGCACAGCTAAACAACGCATATAGTCCGGTACGCATATACAGTCCGGTTGAAATCAACTATTTACTCATCATTGCTAAGAGATAAGCCATTTCTTTTACACACAGAGCCTGTCCTACCGCTTCTCATACGCTCATTCGTTTATACATTTTAATTAATTACGGAATAAATATCGAGAAAATTTCAAAATGGTATATAATTCTTATGATTATTTTAACCCGTTCTACCCATACATAGCGGTTGCTCAATCAGTTACCGGACATCCTGTATTCTTCGTAACTCTTTCAGTTATCGTTTGATCCCTTCGATAAGATCGAATCAGATCTTGATTGATCTAAGATATTAAGAGAAAGAAAATAAGAACTCAATAACAATGATATCAGTTAAATAATAGGAAATATATATTTTCCTATTATTTTCCAATATATTTTCCTATTATTTAACTGATATCATTGTTATTGAGTTTTTATTTTCTTTCTCTTAATATCTTAGATCTGATCCTAACTGATTGAGCAACCGTCATGTACGAGTAGAACGGGTCAAAATAATCATAAAAATTATATACCATTTTGAAATTTTCTCGATATTTCGAAAAAAGGCTAATTCGAGTTCAAGCACAGGATTAATAGTGCTATGTACCATATGGGTAAAACCTTCCTTGTGTTAGGAAATAGAGCAATATTTATTGAACATGAATACTCAATATAAATAATCAAACGTTTCGGCTCAATCATGAACCCTCTTCAATAATATAAAAAAAACTCAAGGTTTACAAAACGAACGCATTATAAGTAAAAGAATTAATTAAAGACCTTAATAAAATGACATGAATGTTATTCGCAGTATTATAGCTGACAAGACCGTTACCCGACTAATATTAAGAAGTTCAAATTAATACTAGGAAGTAGCCGTCATAACTATAAAAAAACCATAAAATAAAATAAAAATAAGTAAGATTAAAATATAATAAATAATTAAAACGGTCAATATAAATTACCTTTGTTGAGCTCGACTAAAAGTGAAACGATCCTGTCAACGATCGTCACGTCTAAGTAATAACAGATTTATATACACGAGCATTAACATTGCGGCAACAACTCTTGGAAGAGAAGGAAACAAACAAAGTTTTATTTTCATAATAAGCCGCAGTAGCTATTGCCCAAATATTCTTTTGAGAGTTAAGTCCATGCTTTGGGAATTTAATGTAAACATAGCACTATTAATCCTGTGCTTAAACTCGAATTAGCGTTTTTTCCTATTATTTAACTGATCTAAGATAATTTTGAAAACGCTACAATTACTACTGTTACTAACTTCTACTACTACTACTAACGCAATTTAATTTAAGTGTTTATTTAAAGCATACTACTTTCTTTCGACATCTTTATACTTCTAAATATTCCAACGTTTTTTCCTTACTTCAAATTGCGAATATTATGGAATTTTCTTAGTGGATTCGTACTGCCTAGCATAGACTTCGAGTATAGTCACGCTTGACTACGGCACACACTTTTACGGTTTTTTTCGACGATGTTTTATTTAATTGAAATTCGAATATAATTTCGTAAGAAAGTAGTGCGTTTTAATAATTTGCGCCAATAACGTCATGTTACACAATCGTAATTTTGCGAAGAATATTATTATTTTGCGATTATTTATCACTTGCAACATTCCCCTTTCTTTGTCCTTAGAATTAATACCTAATACTTTTTCAATCTTTATTTATATTATTTCCAATTTTATTAAGTGTATTAAATAATTCAAATTCTAAATTAAAATCTTAACAAAGAAACCTTGACGCGATAATTAAAAAACTATATATATCGCGAAACAACCAACGTGTTAAATCGACTAATTCGAATTATCATGTCATACGAATTGTTAAGTTGTTCTAAGTGCTAGAAGGAAAATGAGATGTCGTGAAATTCTTATGAAAAAATTTCGAATAACATCTAACGCACGATCTATCCATTTGAGAGAAGCGCAAATTTTCTTAAAAATGTACATACGAGAAAAAATAAGATAGATGAAAAAATAAGATATCCAAAGCTAAATTCGTGTTTGTAACAAGCACCGACACATACACTACGACAAAATCAAACAAATTGACACATATAACATGAACTTTCTAATAATTTAAAGGAACTTGGCCAACGAACCACGAATTGTGAAACGCTTCTTTCGCAATAATCGACTTACCGTTCACGGCGGTGTCATTCGTTAATTTCTCAATCATCCTGGCCAACGTAATTGCACAGCAAAATGTACTGTCGACTCGTTCACTTATGAGCGCAACAGTTCGATTACAAGACAAACGCACCGGTGGGACGCAATTATTCTCTGCGAAGGTGGATCTCTCTTCTTATAGCTCGAGAAGTATTGCGAGGTGCATTTTCCTCAGCTCTCTACCGTACTAACCGCACTCAGACTTGCTGTAAGAGGAGTTAGCCAGTTTTCAGCATGTCTTCTGGAGAAAGGTGCCCCTGCTTGCTTCTCTTCTCTCCCTTCCACAGCATATGTAACAGTTGTATGTATAGTTGTAGATACACGGACTCGTCGTCGCACATTAATAGTCTTCCAACGCTATCTTCTTCTGCTTTATCAACATGAATCTGTGATTCTTTATTGATGTTAAAAAAAACTAAGAAACTTGTTTTTTTAAATCTCTGATTTTTGAGCTCTAATTGATCTTTGAGCTCTAATTGTATCAATTACAACGTGTTGAAATTCATACAGTCACAAATTACGAAACACAGTTTCTTTTTTTCTTTACCTGTAATATTGTAAATCCAGTTCACGGATAAAACTATGACTGACGGCTCTATTTACACAGCACACTTCGTGCATTCGCGAAGAGGAAGAGGAGATGGATTTAATCGTTAGGCCTCCAGCACTTTCCGATCATTTATATTAATATTGTTGATACGTACTGTAACGTGACTCATGTACATATAGCGTTATTGCACGTTACATAACACTCTGTCTTTCAATGTATCACGAGGAGGCAGAAGTGATGACGCACGTGCGATCTTCACATACAAAAACGCGCCACATTGAAAGGACGACGATTAAATTAATAAAAAGGGAAGCCGTTGTAAAATTCGTCGCAACCGCGCGAATTCGCGACACTCTCACGATGATTATCGACTTTGCGCGGCGTTTTCTCGCGAATTTCGCCGCAACATTTCCGGGGGAGGGAAAGTCTCATCAGCTGAATTTCCGCACCCGTACCCACCGTACAATAATTCGCCCGCAAATTATCGTTTGTCATAGGAAATGCACGCGTCACTGTCGCAAATTGAATAAGACGACAAGTGGATGCAAATTGAACTACACCGTGCGGAAGAATAGATGGCGCGCGTTCGTTCAGCGAGTGAGAGTTATCGCGCGGCTCGTTTGGCCGAAAAGGAAAGTTCCCCCCTTCCGCTCTTTTCGTATTCCTACGTGCGATATTAAAAAGTGCCGAAATGGTACGTCATAATGCGGACGCAACGGTGAAAGCATACCTCGTTTCGAATCGTTCCGCCGCACAGTAGGGTCAAATGAAATTTCACGTTTCAAGAAAGACTACAGTTTCGAAATTTGAACTAAACTCGTTCGCTTTTTCTTTTAAATAAAAGCTGGTGAAATTTAGAACTTTGTAAGATTTTTGTATCTTTTGCTTCCTTTCTCCTAAATAATACATAAAGAAGTTAGATTTTGAAATTAGTTTCTATTAAAAAAAAAAAAGCATTGAAATCTATATAAATCTTGAAACTCCAGCCTTTTTTGAAATATAAAATTTCATTTCACCCCATGTCTTGATTCATCTTATCGATCATTCATATCCGTTCCGAAAATTTGTTAATAGTTTCAATCGCAAAATCAAATGTGATGTACATTTGGTACATCATGTTAATCTACACGTGTCGTTTTGCAATCAATTTTTCTCTCTTTATCACACACACATACATATATATCACATAAAACATATTTTTACGCCGTATGTATGACGAATTCTATAAAAATGTAGGCAGTCTGATAAACTATGATCGAACACTGTTCGATCAACAGTGATATACATAAAATCGTGTAAATTATCTCGTGTCAAATAGCAAGAAAACAAACGCGGCCAGTGACGATGCTACTGAACAGACTTTGGAAAAACCATGTATTATAGAATAATAATAGATTACAATGTTCATGGTAATAATGATATAATATAAACCATAATATACCTGACAATAATAATAAGATCCTAAAATAACACGAATACTGAATACATATTATTAACAATAATGAGAGGATGGGCGGCATCGGGATAGTTTTGGCAGAGGAAGGGGCCAAGCCGCTATCGAACTGCGATTAAAACGAAAATTAACGTAATTACGATTACGTTATAAAAATGATGGAATCCTCGTCGGCATTCGGATGCGTAGCGCTTTCAAAAACTTCCAATGCGAAACATTCATAATTTCGATATTGCAGCGTGAAAAAAGATTCACGTACTCTAATTTACATTTTATCCTAGTAAATCTCGCCCCGAATAAATTGATCAACACATTAAGCGCCGCTTTGTGCATCAAAATGAAAAAAAAGAAAAAAAAGAAAAAATAAAAAAATAAGAAATCAAGGAACATAAAATTACGTAACTACAGACGCATATATCAACAGAGTCAAGAATTGTGATCAGATGTTATGTTACGGATAAAATTCTGGGATTAATTCTGAGTTAAAACGTCTTTCTTTTTCATTGATCGTTGAAAATAGAATTTCTTGCATTAACTAATCAATTCCGAAATAATTGATTCTTTAGTCAAGAATAATTCATGTCTTATAAATACATGAATATTTGCTTATCCATGAATGTTATAAATATCCAATTTGTCGTGTCCGCGCGCTCGTGATCACGTAATAGAATATAATAAAAATTGCACAAGTAAAGCACATCGATCATCATTTGTCGTAATGCGATTTAATCGCGACTACTAATTACTAACCAATTATTTACCGATTACGGCGCTTAGTGTATTAAATCCAAAGTAATAAGTACATCATAAAAATTACCGCGATATTGCGAAAATAACACTATCATTTACAACAAACCTACGTCTACATCGTTTCTATGAATATTCTCGGCCAAGTCGTAAAGTCGTAAAGTCGCGTTTACCGAAAGTAATAAAATAGAGAATTCTTCGCATCCATTTAGTGCGCGGCACGTTTTATCATTTATCAACAATTGCACGCGTTGTCTTTCATTTTCTTTCTGCGGATTGGTCCTCTCCGTGCGATTGTACATAAACAACTACTCGCGAGCTGAGATCTTAACGTTACTAACGAAGCACCTCGAATACACTGAACAAACATGACTAACATGGCTGGTCCGGAAATAAAATTTAAGGAGAGGCGGTTTCTCTCTCTCACTCTTACTTTCTCGCACACACACACACACACACACACACACACACACACACACTCTCTCTCTCTCTCTCTCTCTCTCTCTCTCTCTATGACTTGAAACGGGGTTCACAGGTTCACAGGTATACCTTAAATTACCGAAGCATGCGACGAGGATCATGATAAAAGTGCGGCTCGCAAAATTTAAACAGTTGGAAAGAGTCTGCAGTGACGTTCGAATCGCGCGCATCTCTTAAAACTATTAGGCTCGAAAAACATATGCAGAATATCCGATAAAATCGCTAAAGACAATTTCTTCTATAAAAATGCAGTTTTCAAACATTTACATACATCCTTACGTTAACATGTATATTAATATAGAAGGCAATCAAAGAGCTCCTCTAATTTTAGATTTTTCTTTCTTTTTCATAAATATATGTATATACAGAATGTTTGACATCAAGTGTCCTAAATCTCGTGTATATACAGATTAGATCATACTGAACATAAAATTCCTCTGCCATTTTATAAACATGTACGTAAAAATTTGAGTTCTTATAACTCAAATATTTCTTAACTTTGTTAAGGAAGATTAGTGAATTATCACGCGTGATATGGCAGGTGATTTGTGATAGCGACACTTGCCATCGTGTGCTTGTAAATTAAGTCAAATTGAGCAAGAAAGTTTTATTTCGAAAATAGATTTTTAATTAATGATTAAAAAACATTATTGTACGCAAAATCATCCGCCAAACTTCTTTAATTAATAATTCTCAAATTTTTACATGGTTGTTTGCGAAATAAAGGAAAAATTTTGCGTTTAGTTTGATCTAATACACACGTACATATGTATGGAAGACTTAGAGGTATATTCTATAACTTTTAACGACATCGTTATGTATCATTGCGCAGATTTTTTGTATTATGAAATAACTGCGCAGCGATACATAATATCATTAAACGTTATAGAATAGGCCCCTTAGTGTCAAACATCTTGTAGCAAAAACTAGCAGTAATTATTTGTTAAAAATGACTTAAGAGAATGCATTGCATGTGCAGCAATTTAATTGTTTTTTATCGGAAATCAAAGGTGTTAGTAAAAGGAGGCTGTTCAGAATATGTTCATCGTTCAGAAAAAGAAAAAAATAAATGTGAAGATTGAAGCGTTCGATTATACGCACAATTATACTTCCTGCGATCACTTACAGTATATAAAACTCTCTTTTTGTCGTTCGTAAAAAAATAATATCAGCTCCCGCGTGGATAATCTCACAGTCCCTCCCGATAGGTCCACGTGTGGCGAAGTATAAAAATATATTTATTAACAAAGCCGACTTTTTTCTCATCAGAAATCGGATCTAAGACAGCCAATCGTTACCCATTCACGATCCAGCGACCTATCGGCGCGATTCAAACCGGTTCTTTCCAACTGTTTCAATTTAAAAATGGCAGCTTTATCCGCCGTTTCTACCGTGGCAGCGGTTATGATATTTGTCGGGGTGTACTCGGCGTCCTTCGAATCGCCTGTTGATTCGAGCATATTCGGATTAAGCATCGCGTGTGTGTCATGTCTAATAAATATTGCAACATATCTGTGCACTAAAATTTCAAAATTTATTTTTTTATTAATTCATTGAATACTTTAACATTTATTTTAATAACTTTAACATTGTTCCTTCTTTAATCTCAATTCTACTTTTAATTAAGACACGATCCGTTCTACCCGAAAGTGCCCGAATCGAAACATCTGGCATATACAGAAAACGCCGTGTGTACAACGACCATGTCTACATCGGAGGCCAAATACTATTTTCACGTTTAGAAGACCGTTTACTAGCATTAGAAGTATCGGTGACTGTTTGGCGCGTTTAAACATTAGGATTCTCTAAGACTGTTCTGTTTGTTTGTTTCTCCTTCTCTTCTTTTCTATATTTTTCTTTTGTTCAGCTCTTTCTCAGGGACAAGTCGCCGATGCGCGGTGCGTTTGGACGTTGCTTAATGTAGTATAAATAAGAAAATAATTGTGCGCGACTCAGTCACTCAATATCGATCGAGAGCCAATCGGGCGATTACGCGCGCGATAATTGACCGATTAGTCCCGGCCAGGCTGTAATGCGCGGATTCTCTTCTTAGGCTGATAAAAACTCTGGCAGATTGCTCAACCAAGGGGCGCATTTTTTCACAGTCGCTAGCTATGTGCATATAGTTTGCAGCTCTGTACGTATCCCCGGCTAAAACGTCGCACGGCGAATTCGTTCCCCACGAATCGCGCGATTCCGCACTCTGAGTATCCGATGCGTTCGAGGAAGAAGGTCGTTCGATCGAACTGAAACTCGGCGGTTGAAGGTCCTATCAGGAACTGAGAGACGCGACCGTGAAAGACAGAAGCGGTTTCGCACGAACGCGGCCGTTGGGTCGTCGTACTCCCTGCAAAAAGAAAGGAACTGAAGGTTACATATCGAGCACGAGTGCAAAGTAACGTATAGGGCCACGTTGTTTTCTCTTTACCTCGCAAGGTTAGCCGCAGTCCCGTGGCGACGATAATACACGTTCAAAGAGTGAAGATCTCGCCGAGGCTGTACGCGACCGAAGGAAGAAACTTTACCGCGTCGTACGACAAGTTTCGAGAGGAACTTCTCCGATTGCTTTGTATAGGAAGATAAGTACGAGATGTTCGACTGACTGCGTGTTACATATTCTACGTTGTGAAATGTCTTTTGCTTTTTTTTTTTTCTTCTTCGTCTTTATCCTCGCTAACCTACGGCAAAACTCGCGGTAATTATTCGGTTACTCCGTACAACTGAGTCTACCTAACTCTCGACGGCGGAGCGTCGACAATATCGCTGCTACCTAACGCAGCTGGGCGAAAGAGAACACCGGCATTCGTACATTCCGATCACAGAATGGGATAATCTGCCTGTAATTTTTAGTTGGTATATAAGAATAACTTGTAGTCGTTATTACAGACGCAGCGGACCATCGCATGGTCGACGACGATATTGACACTGTCATGGTCTGTCCGGTTTATCGCGACGGACATGGCGCAACGTTCTCTAACACGCCGAATATCGCTATATTTTTCCTATATATGATACACAAAATGATATTTATATATCATAGATGCAGCAGAGATTTATGCTTTCGCCCAGCTCCGGTGTTTAGTCAAATCCAAAGAGAATTCTTAATTCGTTTTCGTGCGTTCAGCGCATTAAGGACGACGAGGCGGCGTCCCGGAATCTCATATATACCTAGAAGTATTTAATATCACTGTCCGTTCACACTCGACCTTTTTCGCCGCGAGATATATTGGAAGCAAAATGATTATTATATAGACGGATCTTTCTCTTTCTCTCTCGAATACCGAACGTGAGCTTGAGCTCTCGAACGCTCTTTTACGAGTCGCGTTTGTTGCCATAACGGGCACAGTAAAAATATCGTTCAGCTTCATAAACAATTTACGCTGCTCATAACGATGAAGGACTCACTGATCGAACGGTAATAACGATTAAAAATGTTAAAATTGTGGCGTTGCGCGCAACATATTTATCAAAAAGCACAAAGTTGGAAGTATTAAGAATTTTCCAAGTACAACAGATGCATATGTATATTATATGTAAACGAGCATTTAAAAATGTAATCCTCTAATCATTTTGAGCAGCGTGTCATGTGTTCCATCGCGATAGATATACACCTATTTGAAAAAATCAAAATTTGAATATTTAACAAATTAATATCGTTATATATAAGAAAAAAAAAACACGTATTTACTTATAAAATATACCGTAGAAAATTGTTGGATTCGTCACAATTCATGGTTAATCCAACTAAATGAAAATCTAATAAATTTAACCGCAATAAAAGTCCAACATATTTAAAGTCACGTCCGGAAGTAGCTTCGTGGTAAAAAGTACCGCGACCTAGACGCGCGTTTACATGTTTATCGTCGCGTTCATCGCGACCATAATGAGAACTATAATTATAATAATAGTAATAATAATAATAATCGATATCTGTATCACTACTACTGAAAACAACGTCGAAGAGAAGATCTACCTTTTAAATATAGCCGTTGTATGAGAATCGATTAGTAGAACTGTACAAGTGAATTCCAAATTGCAACTAGCTCCGTTCGTGAATGGGTTCCTTCTGATATCTCAATCGTCGATGACGGCTGATAAATATCTCCGTTGATCTCGTAGTACTGTTACTCTAATACGACCACCACATACGCAATGTTCGCAACAGTCTTCACAGCCTGCTAGTTAATCCTTAACGACCCACTATTCAGTAAGCTCCGTTTACCACGAGAGCTCGGGACTCAGGCCCTGTTTCTGGAGAAACGTTATCCCTCAGATAACAAATCAATAAACGAAAACATAAAAAAAATAAAAAAACTTTCAAAGGGCATTAAAAGCGACATTGGCCCGTGGACGTTGGGTCGTCAAGGATCAATATACATCTTCTGGATATCGATTATCGAATAATTACGACGTCGTGGCACGACCACGTGCCGCAACTGTAAAGTCCACTGCGCGTACAAGCGCGTGATCTCCAAGTCGTCGAGATGTGTACACGCGATGATGAATTCGTCGAAGCTCCCCAAGAGGAAGACGCGTGTTCCGTCCTATGGACTCCAAGTGATTTTGATCGTCAAAATGCGTGTTTTCTCCCACGCGCGGTGTCCGTCCTCCATCTCCTCGTGACTTCCTTCTTATTGAATAATGTTCTATTTATTTACATTGAAACCCTCGGGGTCGCACGCCGGCACAGCGTACCAGCTATAGCTGACCGGGCTATCACGAGAGTACGGAACCGACTACCTCGGTCGCGTCCTTGCAGTCTTGAATGGATATCTGAGCAAGCTCGCTCACTATCTCCTCCTGTGCCTCCTTTTTCAGTATCGTGTATCCCTGCTGAGCTTCTTCGTTCTCGCACGTCGCTTTGGCATTGGCCTTCACCTGGCCGTTCGTCTTCTTCTTACCGGACGTCTCTTCGCCGGACGCACCCGGATTGATCTTGAATACGCTCTTGATGATGCTGTTCATCGTCGGCTGCGAGCGCTTCGGGCTCTCCGACGCGAACGTGAACGGACTGTGCTTGTCGCCTTTGGCAATGAGCGCCCTGCCCGTCCGCACGTTGCGCCTGGTGAACTTGTTGGGTTTCGCCTGAACAGCCGACTGCTGCGGAGACTGGGCTTCCGTCTCTTTCGCATCTGGTGCTGCGGGCTTTTCCACTTTCGCCGAGTTCTCCTCGCACGTTGATGCATCTTCAACGGTGCGTGCGGATTTTTGACTATCAACATCTTCCTGCTTCGTCAACGTTTCCGTAGAATCCACATTGGTCTTCTTTAAATCTTCGTTTGAGTCTGTCATCGGGCCAGTTTTCGGCTCGTCCGCTTTCTCTGTGGAAATCTTGTTATTCTCCGCGTGATTATTCATATCCTGCCGCTCCATCAGCATTTCCCTCTGTAGAACTTTAACAGGACTCTTCGGTTTCGCGCCGCTTTGATCGTCCTTTATTTGGCAATTCCCGCAGGAAATATGTGTCGGTGAATTCACCTGCCTCTTAGTAGCGTTGTTCTTCTGAACCACTCCCATGTGCGGTCTGCCTGCTGTGCGTTCATTGAATGGCACAGACTGCTTGCATGGCAGTTGCACATGATCCAAGTGCATCTGTGATGGCGATTGTTGCTGTTGCTGCTGTTGCATCCTGCGAATATCTACGTGCATTGCGTTATCCATACGCGGCGGCGGTGGTTGCTGCTGCTGTTGATACGAAATGTACTGTTGAAAAGGCGGATTGATCGCCGGTGGGGTATTCGCGGCTGGATTGCCATACGCCAGATTCGAGTTGGGATGCACGTTGGAATTTACATATTGCGGCATCATTTGCCTGGGCAGCTGCTGAAACTGATACTGCGCCGTTGGGTAAGCCGGGCAACTCTGTTGCGGGATACCCGACACAATTTGACCACCTCTGCCGCGCTCGCGATAGTTATAACGATCGAGAGCTATTCGCGGATCATTACCGTGGTATTGCTGCGGCATCATCTGCCCGGAAGGGTAGATCTGATCGTTTTGGGGAATCACCGGACTTGGAGGTTGGTGATAGCTTTCAAAGTGCATACCATCGCCGCTCATCGCTCTACTATACGCGATGCTCGAATGGTACTGCGGTGGTTGCGGAGTATACTCTTGCTGTTGCTGCTGTTCTGGATACTGAGGGTACTGTGGTACAGAAGGTTGAGCGTCGATCCAGGTTTCCTGCTGAGGCGGTCGTTGCTCGCTGTCACGTATAGCTAACACGGCGTTCCAGACTTCTTTCAACTCGCCTGTGATATCGCGATCTTTTAAGATCGTATAATGGCGAGTAAAGACTATCCCTGCGTTCATCGTTTCTATGAAATCCAGTAGAACCTCGATGAAGCTTCTACGTTTCTGTTAGAAGATAAACATATACATTGTGATATTGGAAATGTGCTGAATGTTACTCTCATTTCAAGTATTAACAAAAAAAATTATTACATCTTCTCTTTACCTTAGGATCTTGAGCATTCTTGCCACTCATTCGTAGAACCTCTGGATTGGCCATCACAGCAAAAACAACTGCTTCTGTTTTTGTGCGTGGGGGTGGCACTCTCATACCTCCATAGAGTGGCACAGGCAGTGAAGGTCTGCGAGGCATTGCGATCTTGTCCCAAGATAGTACATTTACATAACATGGTGCTGTACTGCCCTATACCAAGAAAATCATTTATATAACATTTTTATCATACATAAAGAAAAATTTCATTGTACTGCTAAGAAAAACAATTACTCGGTTTAGTTTACTTCTTTTAAGCAATCTCAAGTTATCTTCAACAAGAAATATTTTATTGTTAACAGTCTTAAAATATACTTATTGTAAATCTAATAAAGCTCATTATCATAAACTCAAAAGAAAAATTTATTCTCTTTACAAAATTCTATTTTTTATGTAGAACATCATCGAACCTTATATGGCACTAATTCTGATGTAAACAGATTATGTATTATTGCTAATCGGTTCTCAGCTTCAATTAATTTCTTTAATTAAAATATAAGCTCCTTCAAAACTGCTATAATGCATGCGATTTCATGAATGATTATTTACTTGTTTTTATTCATTTATTTCTTTTTTGGACCTGTTGTTTGGCTCAGGGATATTTTCTGTATTTTTATGTCTTTAAATTCTATTTGTCTGATCTTTGCTTTCTTATATAATTCTAAAAAGTGTCTCCCGTAAATAAAAATTATTATTAATATGACAACTCACACAGTTTATCGAAGAAAAAGTTGGTTTAACTCTATGTAGTAAGTCAAGTTTTTGTTTTAATTTAATATTCTTTATTTATTATTCTTTATTTATTATTCTTTCTTTAATTTAATATTCTTTAATATTCTTAAATACTAAATTTATTAGAATTCAGAATGTATTTTAAACAAATTTAATGTTGATATATAAACTTATGAAATACTTGAACCATGTAACATTTACTTGAATGCAGTATGTATTTCACTGTGAGCATGAATTCCTGAGAAATATGCCAGTAATTCTAACAACACTAGTGCAGTTAAGACAATGGCATAATACCTGTATAAAATCCTGTATACACATGTGTGGTTGTGGTGGGTTCTTAAAAACTCTCGCACCATTGCGCTTGAGTCTGGTTACACTGCCTTCTGTCATTTCGCAACTGAAAAATGAACCACTTTGGTATTCCAGAATTCTCTCCAGTAATTTTCTAACTATGCTAAAGTAACAAGTGATCTCTTTTGCAAAATCTTTTCAAATATCAATGATACTTTCAATAAAGAGGAGAACAGAGACTGCTTCAGTCTACAGAGATCAATTACAAGCTATCAAAACTGACACAGGGTAACATTTGGGCCTCTGACAATGTCCAAACGCCTCAAGTTGACTGATCTATTCTCGAAGCTATTTTGAAATTAGTACAGCCTATTGCATGTGCAGTACCCACTTTGGGAGATCACAGGTCTCGAGTACCGCTCTCGCTATCCTAATTCACGATCGTGTCCGCAATATTACAACGTGCACGACGGGGATAAGCTCGCGTGAGCCGAATACGCTTTGTGATCAATGTGGCGGGGCGAGTGGTCGGAATTGCACGATATGACAGATGCGCCCACGAAACCGAGGTGCCATAAGTGTTGCGCGACGCTCGCTGGCGAGCCGATAAACAATTATGTAACGCGGCGCCAGACAGGAGAACGATTTTGCGAGCGTGCCCGACCAATCGAAGTCGTCCGCACGGCCGAGGTAACGCAGCCTGTCAACATAACCTAAAAGCCGTGCAGAGCTCGCGCATCGGACTCCGTTCGTGCGCGTTCGCGGGTCACGTGACAGACGTTGAGAGACGGTTTCGAGCGAGCTTCGGGGTGGGCTTAAGTATACAAGAACTCACCCCGTTGTGGTAGAGGAATGTCGCACTGATGAAAAACACTCAAACTACCACGAACCCGAGACGACACATCGTCGGCCTGACTTAGGCGAGAAGGGCCATCGCTCGTTTTGTTTATTATTTTACGGAAAGCTGCGCGGTGCGACGATCGACACCGTGCGCCCTCGTCGCGGCATCGACGCGAACCCGTTCCCTCACCAGTGTGCCACCGGTGCTCTCTCCGCGCCGGAAGTAACAGCGCCACCAGGACCCGCCCTCGATTCTCCCTAGGCCGTATCGCTTCGATACATCGATCGCGCGCGATTCAGACTGCCGCCATTAGAGTCGCGCGACTTTGTCGGAATAAGTTAGTTCCGGTAACGGCTTTTGTTAAACTTGCCTCTCCCCCGCACCAGCTCGTTGTCCTGTACGGTGGATCGCGCTCGAATGCGAATGGAGTTGGCTGGGAAACGAGTCGAATATGGTAATTATTGTCATGATTTACTTGTCGAAAGCGCGAGACTCACGAATGGACTCCGCTTAGACGGTTGGCGGTTAGATCGTTAACCGGTTAGATTGTAGGTTACAAAGGACGTCAATGGCGGATGAGTGTTGAGTAGGTGCGCTTTCGACCAAAAAGGCGCTCAGCGTTTGTATCTGTGATAATGTCTTCATTTGTTTAGATGCTCGCGAGGACCCGAGGATGGAGATCACGGAGACGAGAAAGAGGCAGGAGAGAAAGAGTAGGAGGAGGAGAGAAGAAAAGAAGAACGTGAGCTGAAGCAAAATCGACGCGGAAATGTGAGTGACCAAAAATTCAAATTTCGCTCGAGACATGTCGCGACGTCTGACATTCCATATTTCCATAAATGCTACTATGACTCAAGTGGAACAGAGAAGCACTTTGACATGTCAAAATGACGAAAAAATTATGGAGTCGTGATTGAAAAATTAATTTTTTTAGTGATTTTCTTGTCGTCTTGATATCGTTTTGACGTCATCGTGATTTTTTATTCCACTTGAGGATATCATCGCAATAACGATACATAATACCCAGCCAGAAATGATTCGTTGATCAATGTCGAAACGATGTCTAATCGACATCGAAATCGTGAAATCGACGTCGATTCGACATCGATCGACGAATCATTTCTGGCTGGATATCGAATAATGACTTGAAATAATAATTAAGGAAAAATCGAAACAATGTCTATTATCACGCTGATTGATAGATCGTTTCTAATATCGTTGCATCACTACGGCACCACGTCGTGGTTCGACAATTTCGCTCGCTCGCGTGTTTATTCCCGACGAGCGACAATTATAAATAGTCAGCATGACGAATAATGAAAGATGTAGCGAGCGCGGATCTTTAGACTGAAACTTGCTGTAGAGCTTGCGAGCGAGCGGCTCGGAGGACTGTAGTTAGCGACTATTAATATCATCGATCGGGATCGATAGTTCTGCCTGCGAGGCGTCATAATGATATGGTAGATGGTGCGGATCTCTCTGATACCCCGCCGATACGTCACGTACGCCGGTAACGATGTACAAGTGGCGCCAATAATGCTCGCAAACATCGCGCCCTGCTGTACAATCTGTTATCGTTAACTCGCGCTCGGAACGTCCGCTAATGCCCGCCGCTAATGATCCGATATTAAGAAATAAAAACATGACGTTGCAACGGCGATACGGCATTGTTGCGTTGAAAATGTTCGCCGCGCGAAACTCACCCTCACGCAATCTCATACAGCAACAGCATTCGCTTTCTAAACGGCGAGATTCTTTTCCCGACGACCGTCCGAAAAACCAAGTCCGCTCGACGGTAACGTGCAAACTCTGAATTGGCGTTCCTACGCTTAACTTTGATTGAATAATAATCTGGAATGAGATATTAAACGCGTCCAATACAGAAAACATTTTATTTGTTACCAGTAAATAGATGTCTAAAGAAAAAAATAGTCAGTTACAACAAAAATATATCCAAATAAATTTTCTCGAGAAGTGCATTATCGCTTTAATTAAGCGCTTTAATTAACGATTGGAAACTTTACAATTAGACGAATCCTAATAGTCATTTCTAACTCACATTGAGAGAAAATATCTAAAAAATTAAAAATATTTATTCGATAGGGAATAACATTAAAATTTTTTTTATTTAAATAGAATAAACAATTGTTTTTATTAAAAGCTAAGATTTTAAGAAAATTTATATTTTCTAATTTAGAGAATATTTCATATTAGAGTATAGATAAATGTTATCATTACCCACTTTCTAAATAAATATTTTTTATTTCTTAAATATTTTTTTTCTTATAATGTAGATGAGAAGTTTTATATCTATATAAAGCAACTAAAATCTATAGAGAAACAAAAGAAAATCTATAAAGCAATATTTTTTAAGTCGCGGACTCGTCTTACATCACTCCCGCCTCTCTCTTTTTCTCTTTCTCTCTCTCTTTCTCTCTCTCTCTTTCTCTCTTTCTCTCTCTCTCTCTCTCTCTCTCTCTCTCTCTCGGAAGAGCACTGTCGATTGTCGTACGTTCGCGGTTCGCGCGAAATTACATGTAGGATCGAAATCGCGAGTCCTCGCGTTAATGCCGCGCCGTCTTGATCGTCCCGCTCGATTCACCGGCACGATTCTTACCTCTCGTAAGGACCCTGTAATGCGAAATAATGGGTATCCACCCACTCGATGAAAATTACATGAGACCGCGGGCCCTCGATCCAGCCACTCTCTCTTTCTCGCTCTCTCTCTCCCTCGTGCACCACGAGCGCAGCTGAGAAGCACGTATGCCGCGAAACGGCGCGGGGAGAGCGGGCCGGGAGAGGCGGGGAAGACGTAGGATAATTGTTTAGTAGGTGCGAACACCATAATTAAAATTTAAGAGGATACAGATCCCGAGATACAGCGCCGCACCTTCGCATTGTTGCTGCTCGCGATGCGTCGCGGTGGGCCCCGCCGCAGGTGAGAGACGCTCGCATCTGTTTCTCGCGCGTCGCGTTTACGTGTGTGCACGGTGTTTATTAACGTCCGAGAAATTAACGCTATTCTAATCGATAGTCGAGAAATTATATCTGGTAATTATCGCACCATAACGCGTTATGGAGAGAACTAACGATCACTAATTAACAGTGCACTTTCGTACATTACCAAGTCGAAATTTTGATACCACGTTAATTCTGCGGATTCTGTCGAAAAACGAATGAAGAAGCTCGAGATTCGACACAATGCAAACTTCCTCCCACATTTTGTATTTTACGTATAAATGATTGTTTTACTTTCATTTATTTTTTTCACGCTGAAAGTCGAAGGGCATACAATTTATGATTTTTAGAATTTAAAATATACGAATTTTTGGACTTTAGAATTTTTTAAATTTAGTACTTAATTATCTCAATATTTTACCTGTGTTACATTTTTATTTTTGATATCAATATGAGAGATACATTAATTATGTCATTTAACTACAGAGTTAGAACATGTTAGATAATCAAATATTAAATAATTAATACGATAATATATAGATAACATTAATACGATATTAATACGATAAATAATTAATAAAAATAATGGGTAAACAATGGAATATATTTTTTACTCATAATTGTTTCTTTTTTTTCTTTCGTTTTACATTGAAAATTCTGATAAGAATGATATGAAAATGAAGAAGTTGTAAAAGTAAAAATAGCAATATGTCCAATAATGCTGCGTGTCATAGATATTTAAAATTTTACTCGTTGTAATGACGATAACGTTAAATAACAATGAAAAAAAGGCATCAATAAATAACAACATAATAAAATCGCGACATCATTAAATATAAAAAACAGCGATATTTACAGTAACTTCTAAGGTTGGTATCCGCAATTTGTAGATTATTTACGACTTTTGAGAATGCAATTAATAACATATTCATAATCACGTATTATTATTGAACTGTTAAGACAATTAATATTTCTTGTATAAAATAAACATAGAGATACGCGGCTTAAATTTCAACTCGAGGTGTATCTCTTTTGCTCGATAAGTTCGCTCAACGTTTATTCATATCGGAGATATTACGCACAATAAATAATTTCACGCACCTGAAAATATATGACGCTGGCCGCGTCCTTCGTCCTGGCTTCCAACATCCTGCATTCCGTCCCGTTTCGCACTGACTTCACGCTGATTCTCACTCACGGCACTGACACTCACGCAAACAGCGACGTAGAAGAAACGAGTGTGTTAATTAATGCATTTGAATTAATACACGTTTGAAATTAATATGTCTGAATAAGAGCCCGATTTAATATTTCGAGAACTGACGAAATATTTTTATCATCTAACGGCAATTACAAATAACGAGGAGTTACGATGATATACGGCGTCGCCGGTACGCCGTTCGGCGGCTCGAAGCATGAAGACGCGAACAATACGCGAGTACCAAACATTGAAAAAAACGGGCGGCGTTATCTCGTGTGATTTCGCTGGTCGGCCGACTCCCCTCTCCTTCCCATCACCTCAACGCGCGATCAAACTTCACCGACAATGAGCATTGCTCTAGACGTGTCGCGAATTTCTTCAGAAGTTTTCATTGCGTGTCGAACCGGCGAGCGGCGCGTACGTGTGTCGGTGAGTGTTGATGTCTCATACCCGTGTGTGTGCGTGTCGGCTGATTAGAATATTTCGCAACTCTTACAAGTAACACTACCCAAGTGCCCGCGGATCTTCTTGAAACTTTGCACACATGTAGTACATCGAAAAACATTAGACACGTATTTTTTATTTTGACTAACAAGGCATTTTAAGGTTAGAAAACGCATTCGAAAATTTAACACTCTATAGCACAATGATAACTAACGCTACTCCTGAGCGTCATTCTTTTACAGCTTTTACGACATTATAATAATTTCATTGTCTGAATGTTTCTGAAGTCGCTAATTATAATTTTGACATTAGTTTTGCGAGATTCAAAATAGCGGACCAAAATCGCAGACATTTCA